ATAGATAGATAGATAGATAGATAGATATGAACAGACAGAAAAAATTAGATCGATCGATTGGTATATGCGTAGATAGATAGACAGATAAACAGATTGATGGACGTAAACAGACCGATTTTATAGATAGATAGATAGATAGATAGATAGATAGATAGATAGATAGATATGAACAGACCGAAAGATAGATAACAGATAGATATAGATAGATAGATAGATAGATAGATAGATAGATAGATAGATAGATATAGAATCACGAGCCTGAGATAGATAGATAGATAGATAGATAGATAGATAGATAGATAGATAGATAGATAGATAGATAGATAGATGAACAGATAGCTGAGATAGATAGATAGATAGATAGATAGATAGATAGATAGATAGATAGATAGATAGATAATGAACAGACTGAGATAGATAGATAGATAGATAGATAGATTTTATACACATTCCTTATTCATTATCTTATTCTTCTGTCGGATTCCGATCTCCTACATTTACCTCCAATCTCACAATTTTTCTCATTCTCTCTTTCTCTCTCTCTCCTCTCTCCTTCCCTCCCTCTCTCTCCCCCTCTCTTCCTCCCTCTCTCTCCCATCCCCTCTCCCCTCCCTCCATCCCCTCCCCCTCTCCCCCCTCCTCTCTCTCTCGTTTCTCCAAACCCCTCCCGTATCTAACCGATCAGAAATGCAGCTCGTTTTCTTCTTTCCACCCTTTGCTCTTTCTCCTATTTACAACTATTTTTGTCTATATCTAAATATAGATATTTATATAGATAGAGATTTATAATTATTTACCCAGGGTTACCTCTCTCCCTAACAACGACGTTAATTTTAAATTACAAAACTGATTGCTTTAGTTCGTGTCTTTACATAAACAAATCTGATTTTGTCTCAAATAGATTTGCTTGCTTTAAGACAGAAACTAAATATATATATATATCAAATTAGTGCAAGGATAACTAATAAAAAGAAAGTATCATCAGAGATTTCTGTTAATATTTGATGGGGTTATAATGAAAATACTTTCTTTACGGGTATTTTTAAGCATGCAAATTTAACTTGGTATTCGACATGTTACGTTTGTGACAACAGTGTTTTCGGCTTTTGTGAAACCGACATTTTAATCAAAACTTTTTTTTTTTTTTTTGGTCAGGCGTTGAAATAATTTTTACAATCTTCTGAGCGATTTATTAACCACTAATTGTGAAAAGAGGACAAACACAACGTCCGCATACCATAGTCCGGAGTAGCATCTATCTATCTATCTATCTATCTATCTATCCCAGCCTATCTATCTATCTATCTATCTGTTGTAGAGTAATTTTCACAGTGGAGGCTTGTATTTCACTAAGTCGGTCTTAAATTAGGTTCGACGTACAAAACGTTAGGAACTTGAAAAAATAGTTAATGACGCAGCAATCTAGTTGTGGGGCTCATACTCCAATGTCCGACATCGACTGACTCACACAACTCACTCTGCTCCACTGACGACTTCTACTACTACTACTACTACTACTACTACTACTTATTATCTGTGGGAGAGTCTATTTACAATATAAATAGGTACGTTCCGGTATAACACTATCTTAGTCTGATCATTATCTTTCTGTCTCAGGTTCTTCATTATCTATCTATCTATCTATCTATCTATCTATCTATATATATATATATATATATATATATAATTATTTATTTAAAAATATGATTCCAACACGCTACATAAGATTTTTCTCATGTTTCAAAACAAGAGCCGAAATCTTCAATATAATTATTTGGATTCCCTTTTTCTTTAAACAATTGCTCTAGCCGTTACCATAGAAATTTTGATTTTAATAATGAATATGCTTATAAAACGCGTAAATTTCAGAAATAAGTTATTCCAAAAAAATTTCGCTTGAAGATGGAGCAGAACTTAGTACTTTAATTCAATTTAATTCAAATAATTATATTGAAGTTTTCGGTTCTTGTTTTGAAACATGAGAACTCTTATGTAGCATTGGAATCATATTTTTAAATAAATAATTGTATTTATGCTCTACTTTTGTATCGAGCACTATTTTTAAAAAATAATAACAAAAATACTAAAGAACTTTGGACTATTTACCTGACGA